CGTGTCGATTATGCCTCAGTTGTCTGGAACTGTATGGGAGTGACAAATTCAGGAGGAGAGTGTTCAACGTAGATTCGTTCTTGTTTTGTTTGATCGTTATTTTCAACCAAAATATTTCTATAGCTATGAGAGGATTTGTGAACTCGTGAAGTTAGACTCACAACAGGAGAACAATTCGTGGACTGACATATCTGTATAAGATTGTAAATGGTATAATTGATTCACCAGAGCTACTCAGTCACATCTGCTTGCACGTTCCTCGTAGGTCTTGTAGACTTTATACTTTGTTTTACCCTACCGATTCTTTCCATGCTGCACCCATGACACGCCTACAACTGACGTACAACCATTTAGAACAGATTTGTGGAAATGTTAGTGTTGATTCTACCATGTTTAAAAGTACACTACTAATTGACTCATGGGTGAGTGCACCACTAAGGAGGCGTTAAGCTGTTGGTGGGTCACTCAAAATAAACAAAACAAAACGAAACAAAAACAAAAGGTGTGCATACTAAAAGTATAGGTACATGTGTGAAAGAACACTGACCACTCCCCCCCCCCCCCCCCCCGCCCCCCAATTTCGTTTTAATTTTTTGCTAGGTGATTTAATATGGTGTCGGAAGACTATACCCAATCAATAGTTTGCTACAGCGTCACGTATATTTTTAATAAAGTTAAAAAACGCACCTGCTCGAAACCGAAACTGGGGATGAATGTAAAGGAGGAGAGAGTTGCCGGAAGTCACGTGACTACACCCAACTGCAGTTTTTTTTTTTTTTTTTGTGCGACGCAGACGGAAAATGCGCTTCTATGCCGCACAAAAACAAAAACAAAAAAAAAAGAATCTCGTTTTTTTTTAGCTTTTATCAATTCGTGTTTGTGAGACGACTACAATACTAGTTTACCATGTTTCCAACCGGGAGAAGGGTCGACGACACGGCGACGTCTTCGTGCGAACCAGTTTGGTGGTCGGGCGTATCGTACGGAATAAATCCTAATTGTGTGGATCGGTAAAGCTATAGACAGATTCACCGGTACCTCGAACAACGGTTCTGAGCTAGAGGTCCCACGCCCGTCATCCGCCGCCATCGCTTTATCCGCGATATAAGGGCATGTTGCTCTGTGGAACTTTTTTTAAAATCAGTATTTGCAGTTTTTTGCAACCACAAAAATGGGTACCATATTTTTTTCTGTTTTTAATAGAGTGTTACGTTCCATGACCCACGACATTGATTATATTTAATGTGTTTGTCTAAACCAGTCTATAGAGAACGGTGCGTGACAGCGGAGAAGAGAGTGAGCGCGACGCAAACCGGCCAATCCTTGATCGGCGGTTTTCGAACGAAAACAAAAAAATTAATTTCGAGCCGCAAATTGTGCTCTGGGTAATTGCTCTCATATGTCATGTGCAAAGAATAACCTCGGCAAGCATAAACACCCTGTCAGTGTCCTCTTAATACAATGTTCACAAACTAAGAAATACTACTTTATACTTTGCGCAGTGTTCCACAAAGGTGCAAGATTAGTGTACCTTTATGCGTATTACTTTTTTAACATGGGTAGCGGGTGTTTATCTCTTTTTTTCTGTCCGGTTGCACTCGCACGCCCAGCCTTTCGTTCGTATTAACCGTTTATTCGTCTTAACCGGTGTGTCATTATCCGGAGTCACAGTAAGCGGATAGCAAGTTCGACCATCCCCCCTGCCTCCAGACCAAACAAACGCACCTGGAATTTCACGCTCGACCCAGACGGACGCGCGGCGGGCGCGAAAAACAAACAAACGCGAAAGGATCCCCTCGCCCCAAAACCGAGACCAAACGAAAAAGACACATATCAAAAACTCCTCGCAATCCATAAACTCGAAACTACCAGCGTACAAACGAAACGGTCAGAGACGAAAGTACGAACAAACAAAAGGGAGAGAGAAACGAAACTTGCGGGCAGACTCGGACGGAACAAAGAAGTTAGCAGACGACCCAACGAAACAACGTTGCGTCGTCTGCTCGTCCGATTTCCTCGTTTCAGAGGAGGCTGGCTCCCTTGCGTGACTAGAAAAACAACAAAATAAATCAAATAAAAGATATCTTTTGTGTGTGTTTCTTTTCGTTTGCTTCTTTTTGCCCGTCGTCAGCCGCCATTTAGTACGCTTTTTTTTAATATATATATTTACATGTTTAAACAGCCGCGAATGCACGAGCACCGCGAGCGGCGCTTGCACGCGGCTAGACATACAGGAGCGAGTCCTAAATATGCAAATCATCCCCCTGCAGCACGGCTAGATGCCCGTACCTCACCTCACAAAATGGCGACCGATAATACAGACACGACCAGACAGAAAAAAAAATACCGTACCTAAATGAAAGAAAGAAAAACGGCGAAGCTTCTATAACGCCAACTGAATCGAATGAAGAATAAGAAAATAAATCAGGTACAAAACATTAGGGACACTAATGTCTTTCTGATGCGCCATCGGCTACAAGCCGGTTGAGCAAGCGCTCTCTCCACGAGATGCCGTCACGTCTAACACTGATGTCATTTCCGCATAATTCCAGCTAGAACCCTCAGCAAACTCCGCCTCCTGTGCTTCGTGTACTCAAAGATCCCACTCGCGGGGGAAAAAAAATAAAAGCTAAATAAAGATAAAAGTATCGTAACCCTCCCAAATTACACCCGGCAGCGATTACGAGCGGCTAACCTACAACCAGTTGCGGCGGAGCACCACCAGAGGACGGCGAGCCTGAGGCGGGCGGCGGAGGAATACACCCTACCATATAAACCCCTCCCAGAGTCACGATTGGCTCATAAAGGTCGTTCGCGGGTAATTGAGCCCCGGACACATTTACGCCGCGGAGACCGAAGCGCGCACGGAAGGGGACGACGCGATAAATAAAACGCCCAAAATCACGCCCAAAATAAAAGGATACAAATAAAGAATCGTCCCAGGCTCACAAATACAGAAAGCTTGCGTAAAAGCCGAAGGACAGAATTGTCAGCAAATTATCGAGTAAAGGCGCACTAACACGAGCGAAAAATAGTTCGCCAAGAACAGAGAGTAGTTCGGGAGTAAATCGACTCAATGAGGGACTGACTGTTCTATTCTTGGTGCAAAGATACCTTAGTGTAATATATGCGACAAAAAGTATTTGATGGCTTGTACAAAGGGCTAGGAAACGCCTTTTTTTTTTTTTTTTTTAATCTTAAATATAGTGCGCGCGCGCCGAAAAGGCAGCCACCAGAAAAAACCAGACCACAAAGAAAAATAGTTCCCAGCCGCACCCTGATAGGTCGTCTTAAAGCAACGACCTTGTCTCAAAGGGTACGACGGACTATTTGATCCATGTCATAGACCTGATAGACAAAAACTGCGGGGTGAAGCAATACGCCCTGCCGTAATACCACCTCTTTTCCTTGTAATGACTTTGGCGCAAAAGGGTCAAAGCCGACGTCGTCGGCAGCCGGGCGCATTAACACACACACAAAAAAAAAGTACTCCGAGTCAAAGAAAAAGAAAAGCAAACACAGGGAACTAGTTTTCGAACCGCACCCCTAGATGTCCCGAAGACTGGAGAGAAAGGACTTTCTGGCGGTGTGTGCGTGCCTTCTGTCCGTGTGCACGTCTGAGGGCACGCGATCAGCGCGAAATCTAGGAGAACGATTCCAGACGGTGTCTTCAAAGAACTCTCAAGGTCAATTGCCCTACCAAAATCGTTTTCACCTTTGCGGCGTTTTATTTCCTTTAGAGTAGGATTAAGTAATAAGAATAAAATGACGTGTTGGCCGCCGCCGCTCGGGGAAGGGCGCTAGTGTTTCCCGTCCTTCTACGGGACGGGCGGGTCGAAGGGGTTTTGGGCGAAACCGAGCACAAAGAAAAAGATCAAAAGCGCAATAAGACCAGAACTAGCTCTACCGCTTCTTCACCAAAAAAAAAAAAACTCAAACGAGCGAATGAATTTTACTACGCTGTGGCTCTACGGCACACCACAAGGTACGCGAAAAAGAAAAAAAAAATAGAAGCAGACGACAAAAGGAGCAGACGACACGAGAAAGGAGACGCCAAATAGCAGACGACCGAATGGCAAGCAAACCGGAGGGGGGATGGGAAAAAGCGGCGCTGCTCTTTGTGTCTGCGCGCTTTGATATTTTACTCTGGACGCTTTTTCGGCGGCAAGTGTCGCAAATGAGACGGGAGGGGAGGGGGGGACCGCCGAACTTAGCGGGAGATTTTTACGCACACAGATTGCTTGCTTGCCCTCGCCGCTCCCCACCAACAAACGCCCTCCACCGCCGCCACCGTTCACCCCGCTTTTACGTGTTCGTCTGCTAACCGAGTCGCTCGCATTTCTGCTGCAGTCCGATGGAGAGGGAAGGTGGGGAGGAGAAGGACCGAGAGTCGCGACTCTCGCCGTCCGAAAATGTAAGGTCTCCTGCTGGACGGAGGGCTTCCGGGAGTAACTCTAAGAGTCGCCCCGGACCGGTCCATTCATTACTTCACCTCTTTCGCCGCCGTTTGACTGGGGGACTAAACAGGAAAGACATACGCCGAGGAGCAGTTCCGCTCCTCCCAGCCGCCAAAGGAAAGACTAAAAGCAAAAAATAAAATCCGTAATAAGAAAAGAAGATCCGTTCGCCAAGACCTGCCGTAGTCTCACTTTTCAACACGCAGACGGTGTCAATTTTAGACCGCTTTACTGGCGTTATCCGAGAAGCTGCCGGAGAGAAAAATGTGCGTAAAATGACCCCAGGCTCAGAGAAAGGCCGGCTGGCGTGCCGTGCGCTTTTCTTTCATAACCCGTCATCCCCCTTTTATTCGAGCCACGCCGCGATTCGTTCAAAGAAACGTGTTAACGGACGCAAGGCCTTCGCGCGTCACTTGGCCACATCGCAACCGGCGCGCACTTGGGCCGAAGTTGATCAGATTACTAACGTGTTAGCCGCGCAGTCACGTGGAGTATAAAAAAGAAAGAAGAAAGAAGAAAAAGCGGTAGTAAAGTAAATCTTACCTTCTGGTCGGGAAGTAGGGACAGCGTGGCATTATGGAGTTCGTCCAGAGTCGGTCTTTCCATGTGGCCGTGAACGGACATGACATTTCGGTAGTGGTCCAGCCTCGGCAGGGCTTCGCGGGTGTAGTGCCGTAAACTGCGTACATTGTGCGTGTCGTAGGTGCAGGCGTTCCAAGACTGACCGTCCGGCGGCTGCTCTTCGTCGCTCCTCTCTTCGTCGTCTTCGTCGTCCGAGTGTTTCTCGACGGCGAAGTCCACTTTGGCGACTTGGAAGCGCGACTGTTTCTTGCTCGGGTTGTCCTTTCGGTCGTCTAACTTGATCCACTCCTCGTTCTTTTCCGCTAGCGACGATTTGTCCATGGTAGGGTCGCTAACACGCGGCACCGCGCGCTCTCCTTCGCTAGATCCCGGCCGCGGCTAAGCCGTTGTTTTGGCGCTCCGCTAGCAGACGACTTGGTTATATACCCAGACCCGGTGGCGAGAGATACAAAACCGCCAGCTACTGAGGGGGCGCCACAAACCGGCTACCTCCGGCTGCTTCTCCGCGGGGCCGGGAAAAGAAACAACAACAAAAATATATTAGCGAAACAAAAGCGCCTTGCCCGTTTTGCGAATGGATGATGACGGCTTTTGTCTTCAAGGGGTCTGGAGTCCCGCTGAGTTCGCTTCCACTGCAATCACTTTGGTAACGCTCCGTCAATTCTCTGAGCGCTTCAGAGGTTACGGGGCAAGGCGTTTGTACAATGCTAATTCACGAAAACCTTTCGTCAACTGCATCCTTCACAGTTTTGCTAATTTTCTATGACGTACTGACAGTGAAAGTCAGTGACCCTGCCCTAGTGATAAGTTTTACAAAAAAAAAAAATCGGAATTCTTTCTTTTTTCTACTTTTTTTACGTGAAATTTTATTGGAATTTAAAAGTTTGAGCAGCGACTCGGCCATCTGGCGAGCAAAAACCAATATTTTTAGGTCGTGTTTAGATTGCTCTTTATTGCGCTTTCTCGCGTTGCTCGCGGTAGCTAATCTGGCAGTATTACATTGATCATCATTATCATCATTTACTTTCCTTGAGGGCCCGTGGGGCATTATACAAGGGGGTGGCAATGGAACAAAAACAAATAGAACAGTAAACACAATTATAACACTGTAAACTAGCTAGGTAGGTTAGATAAAGAGAGGGTAATGGCTTCAATAAATTTAGTAGTATCATCAATAGAAACGATGTTATGAGGTAGTGAATTCCAATCCTCGAGCCAATGGTAGTGTGGAATTCTGGTGAGAAACAGTTCATGATCGAATTGGACGTAAATTACATAGATGATCTAGGCGCGGGAAGGTACGATGGGGAGGTGATGGATATAAAATTGCGAAAGAAAGCAACAGCACAAAGAAACTTGAACTACAGGGAATGCATTCTTTTTCGTTTTGAAAGAACTCTGAAAGCACGAGCTGCAAATTTATTTTGTCTAAACATTTCTACAAAAACCCCGAGACTGAGCCAAAAAGGGACGGACAAACACAAAATCTCAAATTGAGACTTTGTGTTTGTCCGTCCCTTTTTGTCCCAGTCTCGGGTTTTTTGTCGAAATGTTTAACCACCACCAGCTCGTTTGCGCCCTTACCTTTTGTTCATTATTTTGTCTAATTTTCCTTTTTTTTTTTTTTAGATCTTTCTGGCGCACTGTTATCGGGCGTACACGGACGCTGACACGCGCTTGTAAACGACCGCGGCACGCGCGCGATCGAAGGCAGCACTGACGGTTTATGAGCGAAACCGCTGGATGGTCAGGACATCCAGCGCTTCAAATAGGGAGTATTCACTGGACGCCATGTTTGTGGGGACTGTTTAAAGCGCATGCTCAGAACGAGCTCACATCACTATGCTGCTAAGACCGGCACTCTTGATGGTGCGGAATGCACGTATGCAGAAGAACTGTGGAAGCCCGCCGTCAGCACGCGCTCAGCATTCGCGCACACAGCTATGGCCGCCAGTGAATACACCCTATACAAGCAACGCGCTCGCGCTTCCTGACCGAGGAAGACAGGCCTATTCTTCAAGGAGTGATTAATCAGTTAAGATACATGTAGCCTTTTGCAACGTAAGCTCTGTAGCATAAGCTCCGCCTCCAGCCCTTCGATAACGCAACGGCGCACGCGCAATCGAAGCACGACAGAAGGCAAAGTGCGTGTGCTGTAAGCAGAGCTTCCCCTGGCAGTTCTTATGAATTCCCAGTCCACGTGTGGTCTCGTAATTAGAAAATGGAAATGCACGTGCTTGGAGATGATTTCCGTGGCCATGAAGCCAGTGCAATATTGTACATGGCTTGCAGTGACATCAAGCCAGCCGCCGTATTGTGGTGGCCTTGCTGCTTACGGCGCATCTTCTGTAAAACAAACATAGTACCACCGAATTTTTTTTTTTTTGGACTTAAAGTAAACCTTTGCCAAAAGTGGGCGCCATTGAGTGGGCACGCACGCTGCGCATGAATTGGACACGAGTATTGCGTCAGCGTTCGGCGAGCATTCGGACCCAATCACACGCTTTGTTCCCAATAGCTAAGTGGATGGATGGATGGATAAATAAATGCAAATAGATGTACCTTTTATAGCGGGCGGTAGCTTGCGCCACCTAGCCTAGGAAATAAAAAGTATCATTTATCCCCTAGCCCAACGTTGCCCTCGCCTTTCTAAGCCAATTGGCTCCCCCTCCGTACTTTTCTAACTACTGTATCACCAGGTAGAGCGAGGTATCGCCAAAATGACCTTAAAGGAATTGGGCAAAAAAAGAAAAAAAAAAAAAAAACACATTATACCCGTTTTTTCCCCCGTCGAGGGAGTCGCCAAGTTTTCTTTAATCAAACCTAATCAGCGTATTGGGCTGGAGCTACGCGGAAGCGTTCTAACTTTCCTCTGTCCCGCCTTTTTATTATTTTTATAGTTAATATTATTTTATTCAATTTTCCCATGGATGGATGGATGGATGGTAATGGCTATACCCTTTGTAACGGGCGGCAGCTTGCGCCACCTAGCCTAGTTCAGCAAGAACAAGTGGGAGTGACCCGGAAGTAAACCTTTGCCAAAAGTGGGCGGTAGCCAAGAAATGGCTACCGCCAATGTTGCCTGATGGACTTTTGAGTAGGCGGCGATGACGTCAACTGCAAGCGCTGCAAGCCATGTATAGGCGTTTAAGATGCACTCGCGCATCTTGAGCGTAGATCGAACCTATGCAACACTCTCTTCACTTCATAATTCTTTTTTTTTTTTTTTGTACAGCGGAGCTGTTAAGGGCTAGTTTCCCCAGGATCGTGTCGCCAGCAAACAAATGATGACACAAAACTCTGGAGGGCTACCGCCATCTATGAGCGACAGCGGCGACCACGCAACCGGTTTGCCGATTGTCTGGTTGCCACCGTCGCTCATAGATGGCGGTATACCCTTTCCAGCCTTGAGGAGGATTTTGAGGAGCGTTTGAGGGAAATGGAGGAAGAGCAGTGGGCTAGGAAAGTTTTCAGTTATTTGTACATGAGGAATGTAGATACCAAATGGTGAAAGCGAACTAGAAAATTATCAAGCAAATATTTGGGCGGCAGTGGGGGCGCCAACCAGGAATTACGGGTTAAGAAAAGGATAAAAGAAACAGAGAAGGGTCTGTGGGAAACGGGTATGCAGACAAAACCAGCACTGGAGACGTACAGAATGTTCAAACAGGAAATTTGCAAAGAAAATATCTACGATAATTCTAGGGGAAGCTCTTTGTTGTTTGAGGCCAGGACAGGAGTATTGCGGACTAAGACGTACCGGGTTAAGTACCAGGAGATGGAAACTTTATGTAGTGTGTGTGGGGAGCAGGAGGAAACGGCTGAACACTTAATACTTTTCTGTAAAGGGCTTCACCCAACAGTTAACAGTGACCGGGCGGATTTAATCAAAGCATTGGGTTTTAAAGACAGTGAAGGAAAAATAGACTTTACACGGGTAGAAATAACCAAGCGGAGGTTATCAGACTGGTGGCTAAAATCGAGGCAGGGGTGAGATTTAATTTAATCTTGGAATTCAAAACATATAATTAGATTTATAATGTTGGCTAGGAGGCGCAAGCCACCGCCCGATTCACAGGGTTTAGCCAGATCCATCCATCCATCCATCCATCCTTCCCACCAAGGAGGATAGAAGGGTAGGAGAGGGCATGACGTCGGCCGCGTAGCCTCCACAAGCCATGCCCCCTTGACGCCTCGCCTCTTTCTCATTTTCCTCCTTATTCTCCTCACTTACCATGCCAACGTGACCACATCACCTGACCGTAGCTAGCCTTCGTCTTGCTATGGGGTACTAAAATACACCACAGTCTAACCTTCGATCTGATAAAACCTACCGGACGGAGCGCGAGCAAGCCTGCAAGGAGTCCTACTACAATCAACCATCCATCTCACACGTGACATGTCACGCGCACCAATCGCCAGAGAGATCTGCGGTCACGCTGGGCACAAAATCGTTTAAACTTTTTATGACTAGGCTTTACCAATATTGCAACGTGCCCCCTCCTAGTACTTCTAACCTCCTTGCTTCCCACTCTGGCTTGCCGACTTGCGGCCGGCCATTACTTCATTCCCATCATCGTATAGCTTCGCAGGTCTTCCTTCTTCACAAAAAAAAAAAAAAGCTGAAAGTCTTTTTTTTTTTTTTGTGTGTGTGTGTGTGTTGACGATGTACGTACATATATCGACTTGATGATGAACGAATGGTATTTTGTTCAGTAGAAAAATCGGTGCTTTACGTTAGAGCTTCAATAATCACTAACGAAGTGAATAGTAATACTTTATTGTTTCGTGCAGAGTCTTGTGGAAAGGAGTGTCTAGTTATTGCAGAATGTGAAATAAAATAGAACAAAGCATTTAGTAGCTGAAGCGTCAAACATATGTTAGACAAAAGGGGAATATTTATGGAAAAACAGATGCCAGCATGACGAGAGTTCCCCTTTCACATTAATATTCAGTTTAGTTAGGTCATTTTATGCCAGAACAAAAAAGACTCATTGTTCTTTGAAATTAAATTAATCATTTTCATTTCATTTAAATTATAATTATTTTATTAATATCAAATACATTTGATTTAAATCACTGAAGCTTGAAACTAGTGATTCGTTATAACTAGGTGTATTTTTGAATATGGCAGATTCATTAATCAATCCGTCCGATCACTGATTACTGTAAATAACATTTTATTCATGTAGTATTTAGCTAGCAAGAACTGCTTTTTTTTTAGTTAGAATTTTTTTTTTTTTTGTGTTGTGACTTGATTGCGATAGGATTGGTAATTGACGAACAAAATAGAAAATAGAAGTCACACCGATTTGCTCAGAAAAAACTTCTTTTTCCTCTTATAAACGGTATAAATCTTTCTTGCGGGGTGATTCTTTGATTTAAATACAGAACATAGGCACATATAAAGCATCAAATGATGAGCAAACAATAAAAAAAATTCGGGATTATCACAGGGGGAATGTTTGATTTAAATAATCAAAATAAAACTGGACTGATTTAACTCACGATTTAAACCACCTTGATTTTTATTGCCAACCGTCTCATACCTGAATCAAGACCGGGTATGCTTTCAACGGATTGGCTTTGAATCGAGATTGTACGACTATTTTCCGTGATGCTTGCCGTCTACCGTAACAAAACGCCGCATCGCCTACTCTTAGAAAATCTGATGATCAAATTTGGATAGATGAATTTATGAATGGAACAAATGAATCCTTTGATTCGGGTGGCGGTTTGTGTTGGGTACGCATTGTTTAAACTTCCACTGTTAATAGGTGCATATATTTAACTACATTAATTAAGTCAACCCGTTTTCATAAAGTGTTACCTAAACCAAATGCACGCAATTTGTGCCCTGTGGATTATTAGGAAGAGGATCTCGAAATGTGCATCCTTCCCTTGACATGCTCGATACGCCATTAGCCAGGTTACGTGAGCCAGACAATTCCTCTGCTGGGAAGTTGGTAATCTTTACTTTTTGCACGTCTTTTTCTCCTTCGCTTTTCTTAAATTCAAGTATTTTTATCCGATCCGTCATGCAGAGTGAAACCTTTTGCATTGGAGAATCAACTCTTCAGGCAGTCTAATCCTTACCTTCACATACTTGAAATGTCAACACAACAAGGACCAAGAGGAAATCAGACAAAACAATGCGCCTTGTGTGGTCTTACTTCGTCTTGCTCAGGGTGTAAGATAGACAGGTGGGGAAACGGCCCATAGAAGCCTACCGCAGCGCCGTGACCGGATTGTGTACTCGTCTGCTTGCGGGTACCCCCGATTTGCGACAGATGGCGCTGCGGCGAGAGGAAAAAAATTAGAATCGGATTTGCATGGGACTCTATGGGAGAGTGCGCAAAATAAACCGAGAGCACGACAGTCTTCCATTGAAAATCCACGAGAAATCATTTCCGTCAGTTTAGCCGGTCGCCACCGGTCACCCACCCGGAGTGAGAGTTCGCGGTGCTCCACATAGATGGCGCCACAGAAAAAGAGAAAACCGAGGGGGACACAATCCGGTCGCTCATTTGGCTCTTGTTTCCCCACCTGTCTATCTTACACCCTGGTCTTGCTCCTTGTTGTTTTCGGCGCTTTTATACTGTTGAAGCTATGGACCAACTAGTCTAATTACCACTTAGCTCTAAGTCTCTTTAAAAAAACAACCCTTTCCTGGCCTTCCACTGCCAAAGACAGCCAAGGTTTTAAAAAAGTCAGCATGTCACCAGCACTGATTTCGTCTGCTCCCGAAAATAAGGAGAAGAGCGACCATCTAATCCCTCCTCATTTCCCCTAAATTCATGTTTCCCGCTAAATTTAGCAGAAAAATTTACGTCCCGTGACCTATGCACCAGTTCAATTTCCCAACTAAATTTAGCGGAAAAATTGACGTCACGTGACTTATGTACCGACTCAGTTTCGCCGCCAATTTTGGCGGGAAAATTTATGTTTACCTGACCTGACGTCACGGGGCATACAGACGAATTCATGTTCCTCGCTAAATTTATCGAAAAAAATTACGTCAGGTGACCTACGCATCAGTTCAAATCTGGCGCCGTCGTGAGTGTCAGCGAAAATAATTACAGCGGCAGCTGTTAGTGGCGTATTCCCCGCTTTCACAGTTTATTTATGCAGCCTCGGAGCTTCTTTGTTGAAAGTTCTAACTTTCCTCATGAACGGTGGCTTGAAATTTCACCACAAAACTACACCTAGTATTGCTGGAGCATTACTAGGGTTTCAACCTTAAGTGGTGTTGTTCTGTGGCCTTTTAGAGGTTATTCAGAACGTACGAAGAGTGCGCGTGTGCACAACTCTGAGTGTACGGGCATCTTTAGTATTGGCTTCAACAGCGTCGAGCAGATGGCAAAAAACATACAATATTTGACGTTCGTGTCTATACAGCGTAAGATCGGTCTGCCTTGGAGGTACGGCGACATTGGTTTACGCTGTAGATGAGAAAGTTAGCCTATGCAGTACGACTGCTAGCCTGGGGTCTCGTGCACCACGCACTAGTTTATCGTCACTGGTGGAAAGTGGCGTCGGAACAGGGGGGAAGGGGGGGGGGGGGGGGTGAGCAGGAAGGTTAATAGAAACGATAGGGGGGGGGGGGGGGGGTGGAAGCGAAATCGAAATCGACGTCGTCGATGTCTTCCCCCCCCCCCCCCCCCCCCCCCCCCCCCCCCCCCCCCCCCCCCCCCCCTTTTCCCCTCATCTCCTGAATAGTTCCGTGCCTCTGCTGGGGGATACTGCGTTGATACTGCGAAGGCGACGTCATCAAGTTTTGCTAAGGAAAAACTGAAAGAAACGCTCGCCTTTGTCCTTCAAATTAGACCGCAACAAAGGAGTTTCTCGGTCAGTGGCGTTGCGTGCAAGTGAAATAGAGTCCCACTAGTGTCAGTAAGCTCGTGTAAAGTGAAAAACGTTCCAGGCGAATATCGTTGCACAGCCCCCTTAAATTTTTGTAAATACACCCAGAGACCACAGAAGACCATCGGACCATCGCGTCTAGAGTCAGCGTAAATGGCAGCTTCGTCTGGCTTTTGAAAGCAGAGTAATGACAACTGCGCCGTCGTGCCATCTCGTGTGTTAAACATCAAATACTGAGTTCGAAAAAGCTTACCACAGAAATGAAAATAAAAAGAAGTATACCTCTTTATTTTTATTTTTAGTGCATAAATTAAATGTATGTACTTACATATGGTAGCTATTAATTTATACCAATTATTGTCGCATCCTTTTGGTTATTTCGCCGAACGGCCGAACTGGCCGAACCAGAATTTACGCGCATAACACTGGTAGGGACGACATTTTGTCCTAGAGAAGTCGGTACCGAAACCTCTGTAGGTCGAATTTGCTCCGCAGCGCTGCAAAATGCTTGCCCTATTCGCCCGGTCGGCCGCGAGCGCGGTAAAATCTGCAATCATCCCCAAGAATATGATCCTGCCGGCCGGTAAGCTATTCTACAAGCCTCGTTCGTTCGTATATTCGCAGTTGCAAGCGTAAAAGTAACCCTAACCTCGCTTATCGTGGTTCGCTCTGCTCTTGGACCGAGAATTCCCCGATAAATTTAAGGTGAAACGCAAAGATTATAAGATGATTTTACTGTCGTGAGATACGCTAAGTAGCAGCGTTCACGAAGTGGACTTTGCACCTATCCCTGGGTCATCTGCACCGATTCCACTGGGCCATCACAGCCGGCCTGGCGAATTGCGAGTTGTGGTCTTGCGCGTCTACCACTGTCTAAAGACTACCAGTCTGTCTGTTTGCAGAAAGACAGACTGACAGGATGAGGGTGACACAAGGGTCCTTCGGTTGTCCCGCCTTTAGCGCGAGATTCCTACCTTCGATAACGCAGCCGAAGCACTGCGGAGGGCCCCGTCGTTCTCATCCCTTCAGTGACTCGGCGAGGTGGTCGTGCCAATAAGCATAAGCAGTGTAGCCGAACTTGGCTGCAGAACCAACCCCTGTCTGAACAAGCACAACCCTAGTCAGTACTGCGAAGCTTGCTGGTACGTTTCCAGATGAGAGCGAAACTTGAGGACCAAAGACCACAGCTATCCCGCGGTCTGGAAGGATGTACCACTCTTTTTACCATATAAAATGTGTAAGACCTGCGAGTATCATGCCAAAGAAGTAAGCCTGTCGCTGCTGTCTGACTTGCAGCGTCTTCGGCGAGGAACATGTCCAAGCACTCCACGGAAACGGAGGAAGAGTTCGACGCCCGCTACGAGGCCTACTTCAACCGCAAGGACATAGACAGCTGGGAGATCCGAAAGGCCATGAACGACCTCCAGGGAATGGACGTGGTGCCGGAGCCCAAGATAGTCGTCGCTGCCCTCAAGGCCTGTCGCCGACTAAACGATTATGCGCTTGCCGTCAGGTTCCTCGAGGCCATTCAGGTACCCACGGCTTTGCCGTTTAGACACGTAGACCTTCGAATTGGATGGTGGCTCGTGTTACCCAACCTTTGAGAGCCCGTGGTCTTGCTGTTCCAGTATCCTAGACCATTGAATCGGGTGGTAACTTGCGCCACCTAGCCTTCGAGACCAGTGCATTGCTCTTTCCTTCACCTCACAATAGACTATAGACCTTTTCCTGTACTCTCGTTCCCAGCCATCAAATAGGCGTATCCAGTATGAACGACGAAAAAATAATAAAACGTTTCAACCTGTAACCAGTAGAAAAAATAGAGAGGATCCAAAAAGAGAATGCATGACGGTTAGGCTTATATCCTAAATGTCTTCTATTGGCGTGGCGACGGCAAAACAATGTTTTCGCCCATACTGGAAGTGACGACAATTCAAGATGGCGTCGCCCTTGTGGAAAAGGTCTATAGAAAACGCTACCACCCCTTAAACTCAACCCCATACCGTGCCACATAACCTTTGGGAAGGAACAGCGACGGAGGGGGTCCATAGTCGCGGGATAGATTCACTGCACTGGGGTGGCTGAGTTGGCTCATAGCTTGCGCTGTGACCCATCGCACGAGCAACATCAGCTTGTTCCTTTTACGAAGAGAAATCTATAGCTCATCATCCGGACGTTTGCATAATCGAGACTTCTGACGTGTGATCACCAAATCTGGATGTTGTCGGGCAACAACCTGGGTGTTTCGTCCTCAACACAGATTCGACATGGTGGCACCTCCTGGGGTTGTGACAGGCGTGCCCATCGTTGGTCTGGCACGTAAACCGCACCCCCATAAATGTTTTACAATTAGATGAGTTGCTTATTTATTGACAGACTGCCACAGTGGTTCAATATTGCGCTACAATTGCTGACACCTGGTGGAGTCCGGGGTGTGGTGAGCCCCAAACATCTGATTATCGCTCCACAGCCACTGAAATTGCAGTATTAGTTGATGTGAACGACGAAAAACAAATTCCAAAGCAAGATGCGGGAACATAATAACTCGTGCCCCGAATTTCTTAAGCTTTCAGCAACCGTGGTTAGTTCCAGGACAGGTAAATGTATAATAGCTTAGCTTGCCTTGCCAGAATGTCTAGAAATTGTCTCCCTTTGAGTGGGATTGATATTGGCCAGTATCAAGGACTTCCTGCTGGTGACTAGAAGCCGGGCGTGGGCAAAGTCTTTCTTCCTCCTCTTGCAGCACAAGTGTGGGGCCAAGGTGAAGGAGATCTACCCGTACATCCTCCAGGAAGTGCGCCCCACGCTCACCGAGCTCGGCATCAGCACGCCAGAGGAGATGGGCTACGACAAGCCGGAGTTCTACATGCCCCTGGACTACGAATACTAAGGCAAGTGGGGACACAAAAAAGCCATCGCGACGTGCTTATGTTTAGACAGCGGGAGGTTAGCCAGTCCCAGTGGCCGTCTGGTGTCTCCGCCGTAGAGAGAACTTTAACCAGTGCAGTACGAATGCTGGCCTAAAGTCTTTATTGTGCATCACACAGTAGTGATACAAGACTGCATGCCGGTAGGATGCTCCGCATCGAAACGGGCGGGTGTGGGGGTTGAACCCGGGACCTCTGCGTTCGGCAGCACGAGCTTTTGCTCCACATGATCGGCTACAGATTCCCCCCAACGGATGCAACCCAAAGGGGTTGCAGTTGCATCAAAACCTAGCAGAGCAAAAACTTGCTTGTAGCAGTCTGTTGTTTCAGTGGTGTTCTGGAGGGGAAACGGGCTAGGTGCGGCAACTCGGGGAAAAGGGACGGTGCTTTATCGTGTGGGCCATCATCATTGTTGCTCGTCTAAATGTTCTTGTTCTTGTCTTCCAGGGGTTGCCAGAAGAGGAACTGCGTGCACGCTTTGCTAGGTTACGACCCTATTGTATTGTATAGACAAATAAAAAGCTTACAGTGGTCGCTTTTTCAGCTTGTTTGTCACCTTAAACCTTACATTACGCATCTCTAAGACTGCTATTATACTTGTTGAAAAATTTTTTGCTGTAGTCACATCTTGGCCAAAAGCCAGATTGTTTAGCTTTTTTTTTATCTGCAAGGTTTTTTGTTCCCACAGTCTGATTTGACATGAGGCCAGTTCATGCATACTCTGCCAACACTAAGAATGTGTTGCCATGTCAACACTAAAAAAAGTGCTGATGCAGCACTCACTTGAACCTAACTTACCACTAGTGTTGGGTAAAGTATATCTAAAAAATTAAAGCCGTTTACAACTCCCTGTAATGCCGGATTAGAGCGCAGCTCTTGAGGAGGAGGGTGGAAGGGTACTGAGGGATAGGAGACTCCTTCAGGTCACGTGACCTGAGGGGGGGGGGGGTCATTAGACATGACGGGTCATGTGACCTCAGGGGCTAACCCTCATGACACTTGTGAGGGTAACCCTCGTGAGGTAACCCTTTTGAGGGTAACTAACCCTCGTGAGGATTACGAGGGTAGCTCTCGTAATCCCCGTCAGGGTAACCCTCGTGAGTGTAACCCTCACAAGGGTTACGCCGACGGCGACGCTGCTAAAGCCGGAAACAGGTGCCTAAGAGCTGCGCTCTAAAAGTACTTGAAGTAGAAAGTAAATGAGGTTATGTACTCCCAGTAAAGTGGTTAGTACACCAGATGCAGTGTATTTGAAAGAACGCACAAATACAATGTACTTTGAGAGTAAAGTACAAGTACCTTTCAGCATTATCTTTCACTCCCCTATTGTGTTTTTCTTAACTGGTATGCATTGCCCCAGGGGTAATCGGGGGTGCATCAGTTATTTTTGGAAATGGCGGCAAATATTGGATAAAGACAAATGGCCACAAAATGGTTATTTTCGAAAGGATGCCAAATTCAGAAATCCCTCCGATTTCTAAATTTAGCAGTACTTGCACCAAAGGGAGTTAAACGTACAACAAGAAAGCATGATGTTAGGCTCGTAGCTTCCACAAAGCATCCTCTTGTGCAGGAGTGTCCTCTTGCAATGTTTCTAGCCTTGCTTCCGCTTGCCGAGCGAGAAGTAGCGAGAGTTTGAAATGGCTGCGGGAAACCCGCCCCCAGTACAAACTGAGCGATGCGTCGTCTGCTCGCATTTCTGGTGAGAGTGGAATATCCCTTCCAGTATTTCTTTGGAGCTGCAAAGCATCATTTTGTGATAAATTTAACGAGATCAAATTTGGGGAATGTACTCTGAAGACTGGAGTTGCACTTTCCTCGAAAAGTACCAGGAAAAGTACATACTCGAAGTATGTACTTCAAGTCAAATACATGCTTAGAGCAAGTACTTCAAGTACAAGTAAGGGTGACATATCTTCTCATAAAGGTATATTAAATTGTCCTAGAGAGCCGAACCTTTGCACAATACACATACATCCGACGTTAAACCTCCCCTGCAAATTTCATTCCGATCACATGGGTAGTTCAGAGGTTGAGAAAAAATATGTCTACACACGTTAGTTAAAAAAAAAAAATTAGTGATGAAACGGGCGCTTCTTAACCACCCTCAACTTGTACACAATCTTCAGAGTTGCGTGCACAGTGACGCACAAGGAAGAGTATCTGGTTGGGTATTTACTCATGTTGGAACAACAATATAAGATATAGCATTATTTTGAGCACATAATGGCACATCTTGCCAATTTATTACATTATACCCCTTGCATGTCGCACCTCAGTTTCCATGGCTGTAAATCGCAAAATATTACGGTTCTTTTTTTTGCTATTACGCCACGGAATCGCAGCATTTCAAAAGTATAAGACAGTTTCTCCATTCCTTTTGGTAAGATAAACAATGTAAAAATTCAAAACTGCAAATTCTTTCGACGTTAAAATTGTTGCATCGCTCCTTTAAAAGAAGGCTTTGACTTCACCGGATGAATGGACGAGATATTTCGACAAACATTCTCAATACATTCATCCAATGCAACAAATGCTCCTTGGGTACTTTTTCATCAGTAGATACCAGTAGGTTGAGGGCAAGACAAATTACACAGGCGAGTCACAGTTCCGCATATATGCTACTGGAATGCGGTAAAATATATCTGGAAGTGCCAAGACATCTTTATCAAGAAACGTGGCATTGCCAAGACATTTCTGCGGCCTCATTGGCTGCGACAATATGTAGCCCCGTAATAAAGGGCATGAGGCTGCTGAAAATATGTTTGCCAGGGAGGTAGGCTTTTCTCGAGTGCACCGGCAAGCAGCGGGAGACTGGGAGCAAAGTGCCAAGTGCTTGCCCAAGCTTGGTTGCGAGGAGAAGCACTCGCCTCTTGATACATGTTCAAACAATTATTCGATCGAAGATTAACAAATACTTCGTAAAACCCCCATGAAGGTGACAATGAGGCAGTTCGGCAGCACAAAGCAGGTCAAATGAATTGATTCACATTTATTACGCGCTTAAAAGTGGCACTCTGAAAGAAGACGGTAAACTTTCAACAGAAAGTTTGGCGTACAAAATAATGCTTTCGAAAATGTGGATCAAGGAATGACTAGAGTAATGCATGAATAACAAAAGTAAAACAAGGTGGCATCGATTTCGCGTGAATCTGGTAAAACCTGCGAGCATCGTTGGCACGCTTGTACTTTTCACGGAATGTGAGTGGCCAAACCGTCGTTTGGCGTGCGTCGCGTTGCAAAAAAAGCAGCAAGTAATCGCGCAAAGCGCCGCGTACAAACAGATCTGCGTAAATACTGAAAACAAGTACTATATATATATATATATATATAGAAAAAACTTTTTAACTATTTTCTTGACGTAGTAGTGTTCTCACTGTAGCGTCATTCCGTCAAATGCAGAGATTTCTTTTTTTTTTTTTTTTCACCTTGTGTAACTTTGTCTTGGCACAATTTCACTCCACCAAAACAACAACAACAATCGCCTTAGGGTCGACATCTCCAGTTGCCGCGTCCAAAAGGCCGCGGCGCGACGGCAACTTCAGCATGCGTCGCAATGCGGCGTCCTTACTGCCCTCTCAGTTTGGGGCATGGAGATTTAGCGGTGAGAGTTAGAAGTGTGAGCACGGTCTTGTCAGACTGCAGGAGCCGTCCATGCTATAGCACCCGGCAAAAGTTTGACACGCGGCCCTGGGATCCGGTGAAGTGAAAAGCACTATAAAGCGCCACATTCTCCCAGCCGATATCGTTAAAATCACGACGGTTTAAAAAATATAGCACGTCGGCATTGTGTGATGACGTTGCTACTACTCCGAACAAGGACCGCAACAGGAGAGCGTGGACTCTCCTTGGAGGACGATGTCGAACGTTGTAATCGAGTCGTGTCGTCATCATCCCAAAAGAGTGACATCGCAACGCAGTTACCATTGAAAACATTGCACCGCTAACACATTTTTGTCTCTGCAAGCCGCTGTACTGTCGCCGTTGGAAACACATCGACGTTATTACGGCAGTGTGGCAGCGTCGCACCATTGTCATGCTCGTGTGACAACGCCGCTTAATGCGTCGCAGTGTTGGGACGCCTTTGGTGAAACCACACCGCGACAGCATGGAAGAGGGACCACCGGATCACATAAGGGCGCAACAGGAGCACCTCTGTCCCAACGGTTTCGGAGGAATGAGGTCAAGGTCGTCATCGTCGGGGGTCAAATCAAGGTCGTAGCCGTCCTTGATCAGCTGCTGCGTGATCTCGCGGGCAGCTGCCTTGGACGTGGGCAGAAATTCAAACTCCTCCTCACTGCAAAACGAGGGTCAGCGTGAGGAAAACGGCAAGAGCAAAATATCCGGTGGGGGGGGGGGGGGGGGGGAGAGGTTCTACAGGCTGTTTTTTCCAAGCTCTACAAAATGTTTTTAAAAAAGCTGTGAAAGCCACATTAACGCATCTGTGAAGGTAAGTATACGGCTAGGGAGACATAAGATAGAGGGCGAATCGTCGCGATAAGTCAGCTAATTAACTAAATTTTGTGGATTAACTTTTTAATTAGTAAAAAATATGCATATCGTTTCCATTCGAAACTTGCTCAGCATCAATGAAAACCACTAAATCGGTAGATATAAGAAAGACTCGGAGGGCGGTGGTGCGCTAAGGTTAGCACTCGTGCAAAAGGTGCAAGGCTGTCGGTGCAAAACACATAATCCAGTCCGTGTTTTTGCACTGCCAGCGTTGCGCCAATCGTGTACAGGGAAGAGAGAGGAAAAAGGTGCCCTGGCCAACCTCATCCTCTCGGCGACTACAGGAAAAAGAATGAAAATCGCCGACTTCATCCGTAGACAACTGGCGAGTGCTGCCACACCGTGCACGAGCGCAAGATCCAGCTGATCGGGATTCAATCCCACCCTCTTAACAACGCCAAGGGACAGAATGCGAAGGACGGGGCGTGCCTTTTCGGATGCCCAGCCTCCCAGCATGCACTGGCTGCCTTCCCCTCCACACATGCACACTTGGGGCTCGCGAGACGGCGCACGCTGGAGGCGGGACAACTAAAGGACCTCCCTCGTTTCGATCGTCACCATCGTTGAGTGAGTGACACCGTTTTTACAGCAGAGCTGTTGAGGGCTAGTTTCCACAAGATTGTGTCGCCCGCAAAGAAATGACACCGAACTCTAGACACTTACCGCCATCTATGAGCAACGGCAGCAAGCCACGAATCTGGTTGCCACCGTCGCTCATAGATGGCGGCAGCCTTTCCACTCTGGTTTGCCGACTTGCGGCCAGCCATCACTTTCCATTGTGCAGCTCCGTTGGTCTTCCTTCTTCACCAGAGTGGAAAGGCTGAAAGTTCTTTTTCCTTATTGAAAGAAAAAAAAAAGGGGGCGGGATGCATCCTTACAATTTTTGACCTTCGTCGTCGGGTGGCGGAAGGGCAAAAGAGTGGCCGTGGTTATTGGTGGGTTCCTTTTCTTAACTAGATTACCAAGATGTTCACACCCATTACGGAGGAATACGAGCTTGCCTGTCTGACTCCCACGTCACCAGAGGCTCGGTGTCGCCGGTTGGTAGTGGAATTGGACCAGGCCCTTTCGTCGGCACGGACAGACTGCACGGAGCAAAGGGTATGCAAGTGCACACGCAAATGAAGGGATAGACAACTTATTGTATGCAGCTCGCTTTACATAGAGTATTATTATTATCCAAAATAGCGGCTTTTCTTGCGCTCTAAAGCAGAGGTTTTCAACTATCAATGTTTCGCAGACCCCTTGTGGTACCACGGAGATGATGGAGGACCCCGTTTGTGGTGAAGGGAGGGGAAAGGTAAAGGTTAAAGATAATAATGATGTAATAAATGGATATAGCTAAGGGCTAGTGTGAAGTAGACTTCTCTTATTGATATCCACACGATCAACTTCGCCAGAAAACTGAAACATATCTTCTCGATCTGAAAAAAAAAAATGTTTTATCGCCGGGCTTTGCTGATGAGGCAGGGCCTTGCGACCCCCATTTGAGAACCACTGCTCTAAAGTAAATCCAAAACTTAAAAAAAAAAAAAAGTAATATTTTTTCCAGTTTTTTTTTTTTTTTTTTTTGCAAAATGGATTTTGAATTGGAACAACTGTGAACTGAAGGATGCCTCTCGCATCTGTTTCCCAGACTGTGCCCTAAATTGCCGCACACAATTTCGGAGGTTCGAGTCTCCCGTCGGACAGCCACGATTCACGACGGGAGATAGAAGAACAAACCTCAATTCGAGGTAACACAAAACGATTCCTAGATTTTCGCTGGACTGTGCCAGGGATCGAACTTTGACGTGAGGCAAATATAAAATGTGCAATACAACAGGTTTCGTAACTGCAACAGTATATAAGTGTCCAAAGCATACACAGCAGGCATTTCTATGTTCTGTTGTAAGAGGGTTAACTTATCTTGATGACAGTGATAAGGGAAATTACAGGAATCTGCAGTGACCGAAACTAAGCTTCTGGTTAAAATCTCTCGCGTTTCAACTTGCACCCATCAAATCGCGCAAGACTGCACTAGAAAAGAAAGAAATAAAGTGTCCTAAACTTGATTTACAGTTCCTTCAATGTGGTAGTACACCCTAAAATATTCCCCCACTCACCGACTTCGGGGCAGGAGCGCCTTTTTAGGCTGGGTGTCCACGCACGCAATACGGTTTTGTTGACGGATCCGCTTGCTCTGCTGAATGTGCCTCTCTGTTCGCGTTGGGTCGCGAGTGAAGAAAATACAATAAATTCCAAGTTTTGTACGCCATTGAACTAGGCGCCATTGAACTAGGCGACACAATCCAAGGTCCCCATTTCTAAACTTTCTTATTTATTTATACATTTGCCGCCACACACCAAAGATGTAAAACACTTTCACGGGGTTGGTTAATATTTGTGGTGCAGTTCGCACCGTTTGCCTTATTCAACAGGATGTGTAATAGAGCAGAAGCGATAAAAACACGCTCATAAAAAAACGCGTAGAGGGCTACGTACCGAGACGCTTTTGAAGTTGAAGAGCTCGCGTCTTTGAAACGGCAAGTTCCTGAGCGCTCTTCACGGGTTCCTCTGGTGGTGGAGTCTACAAGGTGAATGAGGTACAGGGTTAGAATGGACCATTTTCAAGCGATAGAGCAAAAGCAAAACTGCACGATTTTAAGCTGTTTTTTTTTTTTTTTGCGAACCAAATGAATTACAATGAAAATAATCCCTGGAGAAGGGGAACAAAGGACAAACACAAATCTCTGAACACAACTAAGTATTCAGGCGGATATTTTCGGTCGCACACCAGTCACCTAGCTGTGTTTGGAGGTAGGTATGTATTTGTCGTTTGTCCCTCTTGGCCCAAAGATTATTTTCATAATACTTGTCCAGCTGGCTTGGACGTTTGCATTTAATTGTATTATCATCACAACAAATGAACTATCTTTCCCACAAAACAGGGAGAAGTTTGATGAGACTTTACTGCTTCACCATATTGTTTATTGTGTATCGTTCACCGTTTCTGCCTCGTTCAGTATAAGTCACAATTAAACAGACATCGAAACATGCCCTAGCAAAGCAGAATTCCTCAGGACCGATACTATGATATTGAGACCAGTAAGCACAGATCACACATATACTACTCTAATCACCATTTACATACAAGCTTCAAAATATGAATGTTTTCAAAGTGGGGCGCTTTTTCTTTCATTTGGCCATTTAACTGACACAAAGTACCATAGAGGTCATTCAGTAAAACAATACGTAAAGGTTAAAACTTTGGCAGTTGGTTAATGTTCGGTTTTACTTGAATGGGCTATATTTGTCGAGGAGGATAGCCTAAAGTTGCGGAAGGGTATTTTACTGCCTTCCCCCAGAAGCTAGCATGTTCAAGGAAAAACTGATAGCTGCTATGGGATTTATGAACTGGAACCCATACACAACACTAAGCAAAAACACAAACCGATTCACGGTTCCAGGAGGCAGCATAGGACGTTGAACCGAAATTTCAGTCATAAACCAAGCGGTCACGTCGAGAATAGCTCAAAATAGACCAATTAGTTCCTACAACCGGCAAAATCGGCTCCCAACACTTCTGATCATCTCAACAGATGGGAACTAGCTCAAAACAGCCCTCAGGAATTCCGCGTAGCTGAACGCGCGTCGAACTAGACAAGGAAGCGAAAGCCACTGACGTGCGTTCTGCTTTCCTTCGGATCCGTTTCTTCGTCCTGTTGCATCGCAGCACTCGGCGGAACCTCGCAGTGTTTCAGCGAAGGCGCCTCGTCCTCGGGAAGTCGACGGTCTTTTCCACTGCCGCCGACTCCATTCGTCTTGGAATCACTGTCAATGCCGCTGTCTTCCATGGCGCAAAAACCGCGGCTAGGGAACGGCGGCGTCGGGAAGGGCCAGCCTTCGCAAGCGTTCGCACCGCTTCATTTCAAAGCCTAAATTTTGTCGCTGCTAACACTTTGTGCTGGTCACCAACATCGAAAAGAGAAGCCCCACGGCGCCCTAAGGCTGACCCCGCATCAACAAGAACCACAAACTCGGAGCGAACACATGCAGAACCGGCGACTAGAGAGAACTTCGGCGCGCACTTTATTGGATGAAATTTGGTGACGTCACGACCAATAGGAGCACGGAAACAGACGCGGTCTCCTCAACGCCCGGAGAAACATCGGAAACATCGTGCCTGACGAACCGTCGTCGAACGAAAGGTGAGTGGTTTGAGTTTTCCTTTGATGTGATCTCTATGTGTGTTCGTTCCACGCGTCCGAGCTGTTTCTTCGTTTCAGATCTATTTTGCGCCGCTGCCTACATTGTTTGAGCCTGCGGTCACGATTAAAACAACCGTCGCAGAAAGCTGAAAGCCCGCCGAAGAACGGCTGACTTGCGAGCTAAACCTAATTCAACAAAACCATTTGATCCGACAGAATAATGTGCTTGATCTTACATTTCATGGCAACAAAGAACTGCGCTGTCTGTCTTCGTCCCTACATGTTTTATTCTTTCGTGTTTTTCAAATCTTTACAAACCCGCGTCCAATCGAATGCCCCGATCACAACAAATAGTTGGTCGTGCTCCGATGGCCCTTATCATCAGCCGGTAAGGCAGTTACGTTTTTCGTTTCTATATTTTGACCCAAGTAACGTCATATTCTCAAACTGAAATTCTATCGCCACCTCTAGTTTCACATTCTGGTGCACCGTGCACTTGCAGCTTCCTGCACCCCTGCGAGGTTTCCTGCGATCGTACCCTGTATATTATGGATTTCTCGCCGCACGCGAGTGCTCTCGAAGGCGTGCTATACACTCTGTAACATAGGTTGTGTGCCAAGAAGGCACAGGCGCGAGCACAAAAGCGCCCCTTTTGCACGAGCAGCCGTGCAAAAAGAACGTTCTGCGGAGCTACGCCCTCGCACCCGTGCCTCTGCTGCACACAACTTATTAATAAGCGATTATTAATAACCGAGCCGTTCTCGTTTTTGTTTTGCATATTACTGTGAAAGAAGTGTCATTGTTGTTTTCTTCTCAAACAAAACTCACACGCTAGACAAAAGCAAACAGATAGGAGTCTGCACATTTACACCCTTTTCTCCCTTGTGCGACAGGTTATAGCTGGTCACGATTCAACACCGTTTCTTTTGAAGCTGATGGGCACCACAAGGCGTGAAAGAGGTGACTTGCAGCTTTGCCAAGGCAGCAGCAAGACACTACAAGCCTTCGCATTAACTGGCTAGCCAGTGCCGCTCTCTTCTGAACAGCACTGCGTGCCATGCAGAGGGTTTGTGCAAGCTCGCTGGGTGGCGACGCTAGCCACGGTAAGTGCATCCTATGCCGCTTTCTTTTAGGGATATATGTGGCTTGCAGGCCATGTCGTGCATGTGCCACCCGAGGGACAGCAGTGCCAGTGGCAAGGCTGTGCTGATGGTAATCACCACAGCACTGTGTTTTCATTCAATAACTACTGAAAAGGAACCAAGTACTTCCAAGAGATTTTCGGTTGTGCTTTGATGAACTCCAGCTCGCTTATGAACAGGTGGATGGCACAGCTGGCTTTTCCTAATGGACTTGATGTCCGTGTTAACAATGCAACCAGACTTCTTTTTAGTTTGGGGCGTTGTTTCTGCTGCGGATGACTAGCGTTGCAGTAGAGAAATATGCAGAATAGTGTAATGTTTGCATTAGTTACCTAAATTAATGGCGGGAATAACTGACCTACATTTCCACCGACTGCATTTCTCGGAGGAATAGCCTGGACTACATAGCTCGCTCCACTATGTCCTTCCTCCTTAGCCTGTACAACTCGGCGTCTTTTCCTGATTGTCTTATGTGGCTGCTTCTGTGTTTGCCTAGGCACTTGGTTGAAATAGTGAAGGCTGTCTGCATTGCACATAACTGCCATGAAAGCCAGTGTGGACGTAGCTGGGGTAGCCCCCAATATGGCTTCTCTAGCTCGACACAAGTAATGTTCCTACCTCTGTCGTGTTCGCACAAAAAAGACCTGCTTAAAAAATCCAGCAATTTTTTTGGGCAACCCCACCTCAGAGCCATTTATGGGGAGAGTTTGGTCAGTCTATGATCTCGCCGCCGTAACGCTCTCCTCCCAAGTGAGCCAATCAGCACGCGGCGTAGAGCGAGAGGCATGAGCGCATGCGCGTAAACTCCCGGCTGCTCCCACCTGAGTGGGGAGGGCCGCCATCTTCGATCATTCTCCCGGTGGAATGCGTGGGATCGGCATCTAAATATCGATTATTGCCTTTTATATCGCTGGCTCTGGCAAGAAAATGACATTCAGTTATTCCTCGGTGCGTTAAAAAGCTAATAAATGAAGATTTTTCGGCATATGACTACAAACTTTTATTCAGTGGAAAAAGAAGTCGGCCCGTAGCAGACGACGTGTAGCCTCAGCAGTGCTCTTCTCCGACAGCGTTGCTAAAAAATGGCGGTCGTCTCCTCTCTGCTCCCTTCTTTCTCTCTCGCTCCTTCGGCGCTCTCCTCCCTTTCATTTACTTTTCTCCTCTCCGGCGCCTTCGTCGCCACACCCACTGGCCAAACTCTCCCAATATACGGCTTTGCCCCACCTAACCACATTTTCGAAATTGCCATCTTTTACTCTTTCCGGTATGCTATTTACTATCACGAAACTCAAAATAGTTATTATGAAATCGGCAAATGAAAATGGCGCCAATACCAAAATTCAAATACCGTAAAATACCGTGCAAGCGCCTACTCAAACTTTGGAGATAATCGCAAAAAAATGGGGGATGGGCGCTTGTCCGGTCATCAATTTTACATATAAATGTACTGTACGTATTTCCTGAGATCTCACAAATTTGGTAATGGGCACTTAATGTGGAATGGGCGGATGCGCGCGGTATTTTACGGTATACTTGCGCTTTTCATTGGCGTGACATCATGGCAGGCACGTAGCCAGGATTTTGTTTGGGGGGGGGGGCCTGTTTATGACAAAGTGCTGTATGAGGGAGAGGGGGGAGAGGAGGTCCCAGCAAAATGGAAGATTTCGGGGTGGGGGGGCCCAGGTCCCATGGCCCCCCCTGCCTACGTGCCTGCGTCACGGGATGGGAGGCTTGCGGTTCAAGCGGGCTGTCTAGAAATGAACTATGCCAAACATTTGTTTCGTGCTGTGCGGGAGCTGGAGCAACCTTTCAAAACATTCTTTTAACGCCATGAAACTGTTTGTGGTCAGTTGAGAACAAAGTCTACAGCCCAAAGAGTGAACCCCTGCCTTCCCATGATGTCACTATTTCAATGTTGCCAGTAGAGCTTTTCACTTTGAAAGACACGATGATGACCCTAATTGTAAATTCTGTAACTTCGCGAAAAAAAGTTATTTTGGCCAAATATTTGGGTTACTATTTTAGCGATGTTCGTTGGTGTGTTAAGCAAGGTTTTAGGCAAATCGGGGACAATGAAGAAAATGCCGGAGTACCCCTTTAAAGGAGAACTCCGACTTTTCGTGCTACCTAATCCAAGGGCATAATCTGAATGTGGATGGCTTCCTGATTCCGAAATGCTATCTCATTCTCCCAGATTCACTCTAGTTAACCGAAACATCATTCTCCCTAGTTTTTCCCCAGTTTTCCCCGCCGCCCAAGCGTCATGTCACTTTGTGCAGCAAGGCGTGCGGCCGGCAATCGGGTACACTCGCGCCCGCCCTTTCTCGCGTCTAACAGCGAAAAAATCTGGGCGTTCGTGCTGTTTAAAGTTGATAATTATATATATTTGCACAAAGTATGGCCTTGGTCTATGTGCATAACTATAAGAAAGTAAAAGAAAAACGGGAGTAATTGGAATTTCATAAAACCATTTTTGCAACTCGCTACGCTCAAGCCGCGCCTCGCTAGTTTCGTGATATCGCTGGTAAATCCATTCTCTTTTTATTAGAAGATGGCTGGTGAAGAAAGGTCGAAGAGTCACACAATAAATTTTTTGTGAATTGCCAAAGCACCGCGGAAAATGCTCGGAATGTGGGTACAGATGCCCACACGCTCATATGACCTGAAGGAATGTGCCATTTGTTTTAGATTTTCTTTTGAAAAGTTACTGTTGCAGGCGTCAGCACGTGTGACTACTCTTGTGGCATGAATATGCTCCTTGGTGCTTAAGTAATTTAGCAAAAGATCTGTAAACCATTTCTGAGAAGCGCTTCTGGTCGATGCCATTTTCAGCGTTCATGCGTGTGGCACATACATTGCTTGCCTCCCAAAGCGATGAACATGTGCATGCTGAGCTGGGACCTAAGACGTGTAGACTGTGATTATCGTAAACAATGAAAAGTATAGAATGGAATGAACTGCGTTCGTGTAGATCAGATGGCAGGTTACTGGTCATGACGATTGTGTTAAAATGACGATTAAAAGAACTTCGCAACCACCAAGCCAAACATCAAGGTGCAGGGGAATGCGTATAAAATACACAAATACACTGTTCATCTCCAAATAAAGAATATTTGCTTGAAGATACAATAGTGTGAGGTACAGAAAGACATTATAAATCTTTTAATTCAAAATAGGGAAGGGGGTAATTCTATGTAAATTTTTTTTAAGTTAAGTTCGTTTGGCACAGTTTTCATCAGCTGTAAATTTGCATGCCTCCCCTTAACAACATTTATATCTTCATAATTAAAAAAAAAAAACTTTTGAGCTTTATATAAAATTTTTTCGCAATATAGGTAATAAATTAAAGACATTTCCATCACTTCTTCTGCCGCGAATATTGCACGCCAACCATTTGACAAACCAGGCTAGGATCTATCGTATATTAAAGGGGTACAAAAACAAAAATCGAAATATTCAAATTTCGTTCGGAAATGAGTCAAGCATGACAGATAATAACCGTAAATGAGAATCGCACGTTTGTATTTTGAACGACTGGCTATATTTTTCGTTCCAAACCGTGCACTCGAGCAAGCGCTCAAAGAGAAGTGAACGGAGAGCGCGATCCGTCATGGGATATCCAGTGCAAACAAAAACAGAAAGAAAAGATTCCCCGCATTGGTGACGTAGCAAGGCTGGCGTGGTTATGAGCTTTGCCCTTGGTGGCG